AGCCTGTGGGTGATGCTGTGGTGGGAACATCTCACAGACACAAATCTGTGGGCTTTGTGTGGCCCACAGCAATGCAGAGCCAATTCACCACTTCACTGAGGGATTTTTGTTGGAGCACAAAATTGCTATTTTAGCCCAGCAAAATCAGTAACCACTGTGTTCTCTTCTTCTCTCTAAAAGCTCTTGAATAAAACATTAGTGATTTTACTAAACAGGCCCCAGGACTCCTCCAGACACGTCCCTGTGTGGGGCAGGGAAGCAGAGCCTGCACCAGCCTGGGGCTCATCATGATGCTCTGCCAAGGCTGCTGGGCAGGAGGAAATGCCAGCATAAGAGATGGATGCAGGCAGCAGAATGACTTTCACCTTGCTCTCAGCCTTTCTGGGACTGATGTTTGTTTTCTGTTATTGCCCTTCAGTTGCCCTTTCTGTTGGTTGGCTTGAGGTTATGGCTGCAGATTAATTTGTTTAATACTCTGTTGTTGGCAGCAGACATCTTTTTTCTTAGTATTCTGCTCTTTGCTAAGCTCCCCTTTGGAGCTCCTCAGCTTTTTAATTATTCACAAAAGCTGAACTGAACTCTTTGGAATTAATTGTGTTTGGTAGCAGGTTTCAGGAATGAAGGGGTTCTGCTTACTTCTAAGTACATTTCCTGGTGCTTTCAAGTCTGCACTCAAGTTAGAACACCTGCCAACACCTGGTTTTGTGCTTCCCAGGAGTGGGCAGGAAGCATATGCCATCTCACCCTTTTGCTCAGTGGATGCTTTTTGTGGGTGCTGCTATGGGAAGAGTAGTAAAGCTTAGCACTTAATAGCTTATTTACAATATGTCATTCAGCCTTGGAAATTACACATCTTCCTTCCAGAGGTGCATGTTCTGGTGGCATTGCATGCAAAATACTGAAAAGGAAACCATGTTCAGTGCTTAATTCCCGCCAAAATCAGCTGTGGGGATAATCACTGGGTGGAGGCCATGACTGGTTTTAGTTTTGCCTCTGCCCATTCAGTTGGGCACTTTGGCAGACAAGCTTGCAGGCTGGTTACTCAAATGCCTCCTCTACACCCTCACAGAAAAGACAAGGATGGGCTAGAATAGAAAAAAATCTAATCTTTCCTTTCAAATGAAAAGCTACAAATGAAGCTTGTTATCTTGAAGGGCACTTTTTGACAAATACTTGTATGAGAGGTCCCATGTCAAAATCTCAGTAAACAGATACTTTTTACAAAACCTTTTACAAACAGAGCTTTCATACTCTTAAACTTTTAGATTATTTTCTAAAAATAATTTCCATTCAGTTTCCTAAGTAAGGACTCAGTCCTTTTGTTTGAACTTAGGATACCTGGTCTCTTTCATTGGTTATGATAGGTAAGTGGATAAAGGTCTTGCTGCAAAAACCACAAGTGTCATAATAGCAATGTTTTACAACATTCTTTGCAGAAGAACTGTATTTGCTGTCCCCAGAGCAGGTAATTCTTAGAGATGAAGCAGAAAGCCTGATATTCTCAGCAGAAAGCACTTGTGTGCTCCCCTCAGTAAACTGAGTCCTACAAGTAAATATTTATTAAACCCGCATTTGTCTCATCAGAAACAGATGCATTTTTGTTGAACACATTTGAAGCACTGAGTATTTTTGTTCCTTGTAGTATTTTAGTTTAGAGTCCATATTGTCATGAGTAAAAGATTGCTTCTGCCTACTGCTGCTATGGGGCATGTTTTCCCTACTACTGCAGGATAATTAAAAAAAAAGTGCTAAGGCTTTGTTGACAGTGATAGCCCCTTAGCTGCTAAATCTGCTGTCCCATCCATCACTAATCTCAAGCAAAGCAAGCATTAGTTTCTCTGTGACTTATCTGGGTCCTTAGTAGATCAATAACACAGCTCAGATGTTTCAGTCTCTTCCCTGTTAATTCACATTTATCTTTTCATCCAAAGAAGGTAAATTACCTCACGGAGAAGCTGTGTTTTCCCCAATAGTGGTTTATAATGTTGCAAAGTCAGCATGACCCACATATCTTATCTCAGCTGGAATGCATTTGTCACTGTCTCATGTTATGATCATCTGGTAAAATGCCCTAGAAAAGAGGTAAACCTGCAAAACGGCTTCACCATTTTCATTTAATGACCTTTCCTGCTATGTGTTCCTGTATCACCTTCAACTGAAACTGCTACATAAAGGGAACTTACCTTTTCCCTTTAATGCTCCATTTCATCATTTTTACCATTAGCATTTCTCAGCAGTCTTCACTTTGTTGTCAGGAGTTCATCAGTGGGTGCTGGTACTGAGTTTAAGAATTGACTCATTAAGATGCTGTGTTTAACCCTGAGAAAGGACTGCTGAGTTTAACTCTACATTTGTACAGTTGGCTGCTGATTACCTAAAAGCTTTTCAGGCTCTAGGAGAGTTTAATGCTCTTAGGAAAAAGAAATGAGAATCAGGTCACTGACCTGTAGCTGTAACCAGGCTGCTGCAAGCAGAAATGCTCTGTGAGTTTGATAGCAGTTATGCAGCTGGGACTCATTCCTTTCCATACTACAGGAAGGTAGATATTTCATTATCTGTTACTCTAAAATCTCTATAATGGAAAGAAAACTTAAATATAAACACACTGGATTTCTAAGAAGTCTGACATAGCTGGTTGCTAAACCATTTTTATTCTCCTTCTTTAGAAGAGCAGAGCAACTCTGCTCTGCAAGTGTGAAATTCTTTGGTGTTTAACTGAGAAATTAATCCGTGCCATCAAGGAGCTGTGCTTTTTGACATGAGGAGAAGGTAGGTCTGTTTTCAGCACAGGGCTCAAATTCTTCCCAAATAAGAAGGTGAGAGGGAGGCCCCTCCAGGGAGCAGTGACCTGCTGTGACTGCACAGCTGGGAGGAGCAGCAGCAAAACCAGATGCTTCCCTCCCAGGTGCAGGAGACCTTGAGAGGAACAAGAGGAGACCAATGAGATGACCTTGAGGAGGAGGAGAGCAGGATGTGCCAAGGGGCCCTGGCACAGAAAGGCTTGGCCAGGTGCAGGTGAGAGAGAACCACCAGGGAGGTGCAGTTAGAGCCCGGGCCAGAGAGCAGCGTGGTTACAGACTGAAATGGGGAGCTTCTGGCTGCATGTAAAGAGAGGGAACAAAACAATTAAGTTGCCCAAGCTTTAGGACAGCAGCCTGCAGTGCAGGGGATGCTCTCAAGAGGTGAAACCAGCAGTTGTGCCTAAGTTGAGGGAAACAATTGTTTTCCATCTCTTACATATTCCATTTAATGGAAGAACAAGGCAAGAGCAATATTGAGTGCTTCTGTGGAGTTTCTGGATTAGTTTCCTCTCCTTGTAGTCTATGTGGAGTGACTATATGCTGGAAGTTTACTTTCCTTCCCTTGGGAATCTGCAGGCACAGTTTACTGAGCTGTCCCTAATCTTAATTTATGTTGGGGAAAAAAATCAGGACATTAAAGGTAAGATATTCTGAGCACAAACTGCTGTAAGGTAACGAGGATAAAAGTATTCTCTGGTTGCATTTTTTTTTCTTCTTTATATTTTAAACACACTTCAGCAAATGTGAAATGTATGAGAAATAAAAGAACAGTAAAGGCTCCAAGGTCTGGAAACCTCAAAATATTTTTTCCATTGAGAATCTTTCAGGATATTAGCCCTGTGTTCTGTCTCTTCTGTGAAAGATAGATACACTGCTAACAAATACTTTACATGCAAATACAAGCCACCTCTTAATTTTAAAAATAACTTTGTGAACTGACCCATTGGTTTCTGGTATATATTTTGCTCAAGCATTTTTACTCCCACTTTTCTGTCAGTGCCCTGCTGTCCTGGAGACTGACTCAAGGGATGTTTGTGCTCTTCTTTTAGAAGGTTGCTGTTCCAAAAGGAGGATGTCACGTGAACAAAGATGATATTTTACATCTCAAGGTTATTTGCTCCTATTTCCTGAAGTGAAGGGTAGGACTTGATTTTATTCTTTCCTTTGGTAAGAAAGAAAATTCTGTTTATTTCCAGTGAGGCGCATTGCTGTTCACAGAGAAGGGACAGCAAAAATATCTTTTGCATCTTTATTCCCCCACCTGCAAACCTTGAGCATTTAAAATCACTGCTGTGCCAGAGTAGTTAAAAGATTCCTCCTTTCCAAGTCAGTGCCTTGGAATCACTGGGGGTCGTTGACATTTACTTGTTTCCTTGCCTAATGTTGAAAAGAGAAGTGCAGTGGTGACACCACTTGCAAAGACGAATTAGGGAACATTAATGATCTTTTTGGTCTCATCCTCTCCCTGCTTGTATCTTTTAAAGACAGTCTCCTGTAGTTTATTCCTCCCTTCCCCAAGTGTTGTTGGAAAACACTTCTCTCCTTAAAAAGACAGAATAACCAAAGCTTCAGAAAGAATTTCACCAATTTGGGAAAATTTGGAAATGATTTAAAATAATATGTGTTCTCATCCCAAGAAGATATAGACACATTTATAGACAGCACTGCATCAGTAGAAACAATCACACTTGTTACCTAATTCTCAGAGGTGTTCTTCTCTTAAGCTTTATTAATTTTAATTAATTTTACAAAGTAGGTGACGCTAATTAATTTTAAATACTGCTTTAAATAAGCTTAAATGTCATTAGTTTTATGCAACTGTGTGGAAAAGAACATTAAGGTGAGGAGAGTTTGGGGAATTGGGTGCCACAAGGTTGATTTCCTTCCTCGAGCAGAGTCAGTCCGGGAAAAATGTAGAGAGCAGTTGTGCTCTGTGTAAGGTCTCTCTGGAATATGGAGGGCTGCGTTTTCCTAAATAACGCATATTCTGTACCAAGTAACCTTATCAGAATAATCAGTTTTGGTGATCATGGGTCATGTTCTGGCTGTTGTGCTCTGCCCTGTCCCTCTATCTCCCATACCCGCTGGAGAGCCCTCGTCATAGCTGTGAAGGAGATAAATTCCTTATTAAACGCTGCCACCTGGGGTTTGTGTTTAGAGGTGAGCCGGGTGCATTAATTTAAAGTCACGATTCAAGAAATGCGTTTCAATATCATCTTTCCAAGTCCCCCTCGCGGTGACGTCACGCTCCCTTGGCCCCGCCCACTTAGCGACGACGCGTCGGGGTCATGTCGCCATCTTGGCCAATCAGCGAGAGCGATTCCCCGGAAGTGAAACCGCGTCCTGGAGCCCGGCGGCGCCGCGCGTTGCCACGGCAACGGCCTGCAGGATGGTAAAGGGGGGGCTAGTGAGGGGAGCGAGCTTGGGGGCCATGGCGAGTGGGACCCTGAGGGGAGTGACATTTGGGGGGGCATGGGGAGTGGGACCGTGAGGGGAGCGAGATTAGGGGAGCATGGCGAGTGGGATCCTGAGGGGAGCGAGCTTAGCGAGTGGGACCGTGAGGGGAGCGAGACTGGGGCGGCATGGCGAGTGGGATCCTGAGGGGAGCGAGCTTAGCGAGTGGGACCGTGAGGGGAGCGAGACTGAGGAAAGATCTGGGACCGTGAGGGGAGCGATATTGGGCGCGGCGTGGAGAGCGGGACCGTGACGGGAGGGACCGAGGAGAAGCGGGACCGTGACGGGGGCAGCATGGGGAGCGGGTCCCGCGGCTGTCCTGCGCCACCGCCTCTCCCTTGTTGCCCGCAGGCGTCCGAGGAGCGGGAGTGGGGCAGGCGGGCGGCCCGGCTGCGGGCCGAGCTGGAGCGGGAGCGGCGGCTGGATGAGGAGCTACGGGCGGTAAGAGCGGGGGCGGCCGCCCTCTGGGAGGGGGAAGGCTGAGGAGAAGAGTTCGCCTGGCTTTACCTTTGCCTGTCAAAAGCTTTCTCCATTAACAGTCATTTACTGACTGGGAAAGTCTTGCTTCACTGCACAGTCTCCTTGCCTTCTCCCAAATGTGCGTGTGCGAGAGGTGGTACGGAAATTGTTTGTTCTCATCAGGCAGAAGAGAGCAGAAAGCAGAGAGCGCTGCAGCTGGAGCGAGAGCAAAAGCTGGCGGCTGAGCTGGCGAGGCGGGACCTCGAGAAAACGAGAGATGAGAAGATCAGGCAACAAGTCAGAGCAAACAGGTAATTCAGAAATTTCCCAGCTGTATCAAATTGGCTGCTCCTGTTATCAGATTTGGGAAAACTGTAGCTGGAGTGGAGATGACTCAGACCTGGAAGGAAAAGTTACTTTGAGATCGAAGTATAATAATAAGTTAATTTTAAGCAAATTTTGTCAATAAAAAAGTTGATCCACAAAATTTTCATTTTGAACATATTTACTAATATAAAAATATGTATATTTATATGTATGTATTTATACTTGGGCATATCTGTGAGCATACATGTGTATGTACATGTACCTGTGCTTATATAGTTAGAAGTGAAGTATGCAGAACTGTTGATAGCACATGTAGAAATATAGGTACCTCTTGTTTTCAAATGGATTTTTTTCTTTTTCTGCCCTTTAACTAGAGCAATATTTTTCATCAGGGTTGTCCCAATGAAAAGTACTGTGTTTAAATAGTGATGGAAACACAATTTCTTCCCCTAGATACCTACCCTCTTGTAATAGGATAACTTTTTTTTTCCCCTCCAGTCTTGAACTTCGAGAGTTAGAAAGCAAGCTGAAATCTGCTTATATGAATAAAGAACGAGCTGCACAGATTGCTGAAAAAAAAGCTATACACAATGAGAACATGGTAATTAGCATATCCCAGCACCTGAGTCACATAATTCTTTTTATGGATTGTGTAGAAGATTTTTCCTTTGACCTTTTCTATCTAAAATATTGTTCAAGCATTCAGTGCTATTGAAAATATATTTTGTATTATGAAGGATTAAAGCAATAACTAGCTATAAGAAAAAGGTTTACTTTGCCATTGCAGTTGAAGGAGTAGTGATTGAATTAGGTGTATGACTAGTTATATTTGCTATTTTACTGGTTTTGTAGTATTTACCCAAGTCAAAACTATGATACCCTTTGTACAGTAAGTGTTTACAGTGGTGAATCCTTACCTCAGAGTCTGGTTGTTGAAAACAATGTTACTCTCTCCAAACAGTGATCTGGGTAACTTCAGAAGACTTGCAAGCTTGTATTTATCTGTACAAAGATATTGGTGGCCAGGCAGGTGATTCTGATGGTGTTAATGCTTTATACAGGGCTCAGTGCAGGCACTTGCTGTACAGCAGTGTGTTCAGTGAGGGTGTCCTCTGTAGCCCAGCCTCATTCCAGTCATTGTGCTGATGTGAGTGAGTCCCACCTGTGCTCCAATGCTCAATACTTTGTTCTTTAAGTATTTTTAGTGCTCCTCCAGTTGGTCAGATCTTGAGGGTGCCCTTCAAGGGTTCTACTGACTGGATTAAGCTATTAAGCATGTTAAGGCTCTATATTTATAGATTGAGGTGGAAGACTTTCATTTCTGGTAATGCTGCATAATTCCTTTCCATACTGTGTATTTTTTCATTACAAGCTGTAGTAGTGGGAGTGAAAAGGAATCTAGCATTGACTTTTTCCCCACAGAAATGGGAGGATGAAGTAGCCCAAGCAATAAAGGAAGATTATGACAGGTATCTGAAAGAAGAAATGTCTGCAGAACTGAAGCGAAACCAGGAGAAGAAAACTTACCATCAAGAACTGGACAAACAGGTTGAGGAACAGGAGAAGAAGAAGCAAGAGGCTTATGAAGAGTTTCTAAGAGAGAAACACATGATTGATGAAATTGTAAAAAAGATCTATGAAGAAGAACAAATGTTAGTTACTTTGAATTTTTATTATTTATTAATTTAAAACAAAGCAACTCATACAATTCTGCACAGAAAGCTAATTTGCATGCACCTATTCCATATATATGCTAAGCCCATTTTAGTTTCCCCTGGTCACATTTTAGTAACAAGAGACTGACTTGCATAGATTTTCTTGTTGAAACCTCAGAATATCCCAGTCACTCTTGTGTCCTTGTTCCACAAATATGAAATCCAGCTTATTTGCAGGAGGGCTTCCATTGGACACAACATCACATTAGAAACTTTTACCTCTCCCTGTGTCCCTTTGTTTGCATGTCTTAGGGACAGGGAAGGAGAGGAGGTTTCTGAGGGCAGAGTATTGTGTGTGTGTGGGGAGAGTTCAGTGTAAATAAAAAGTTTAGGGGTTGTGGTGCTATTGGGCTTTGTTTTCTTTCTCTTTGATGGGGCATACATAAGATGCAGCAGCAGTGTGTACTTTGTGTACAGTCTGCCTTCCAGAAAGGTGTTAGACATGAGATTCCCTTCTTGGGGCAGTTTATTACTAAGTAGTTTCAATTTAGCTATCTAGTTTCTAGCTGAATGGTTAAGGAGAGTCACTTAAATCTTAGTCTCAGAAATATGTTAATGGTGAGCATCTGGTAAAATGCTTACTTACTTATTATGTTAAATAATTATTTGAACAGTTTTTTTCCATCTTCTACAGAAAAAAACAACGGAAGTTAGATAAAATAAGAGAAACTCAGACATATATTGAAGAGTTTATAAAAGAACAAGCTATCTGGAGGAAGAGGAAACAGGAAGAGATGGAAGAAGAAAATAGGAAAATTATGGAGTTTGCCAACATGCAACGACAAAGAGAAGACGGTTGGATGGCTAAAGTTCGAGACAGTGAAGAGAAAAAACAGAGAGTTCAAAACATGGTATCAAAAATTGAAATTGTTGAAAAAATTATTCCATGTTTTTGTGTTTCATTTAGAAACCTTTCCTTCTTGTACTAGCTTGCCAAGACCATGGAAAGAGAAGAACAGAGGCGTAAAGAACGGGAACAAATCCTCCAAGATCTGTATATGGAAGAACAAGAAGCGATGGAAAGGAAGAAGGAGATGGTAAGTGCTGCCAGGTATATGAAAGATTTTTTTTCCACACGTTGGATTTCTAAGTCTGTTAGTGTTGTTTGTGACCTCGGGGTTTCCAGTTATGTTCCAGCACAAAGTATTTATTTTCAACTCTATTTTCTAAATGTTCTCAGTCAGGCAGTTTATAGATTAGCTTAGGTTTTGGAGGGAAAATTTTGTACTTTGAGTTTCCTTTTCTGTTCCTAATATATTTAATTTCAACCAGGAAGGCAAGTGAATGTTTTGAATACCCTTGTGGCCCCATTTATACATTTATTTATCTTGTGAAGGAAAACACCAGTAACTTTCAAGTTTGGATTTAAGCTAAGCAGTTTAATTAATTGTTTTTTTTCTGCATGTCTGTTTCCTATGGGCCTGGATATACTCTGTCTTACCTTGCTGTGGGTGACAGACAAAATGTAACAGTGTTGAGATACCAAACACTGCAGTTTTCAGAGTGTTGTTCAGGTCGACTGTCTGTTGATTCCCTTCATCATAGTGGGAAAAAAAATCCCCTTTGGTTTTGGACTTAATTTTGAGAATCTTGTGACATTTGCCAAGCTGATTAATACTGGAGAGCACTGTCAGATATGGAATGTTTGCTCCAGTTAGTTATGCTAGGAGCTAAAAGCTACAGTAAATTTATTCCAAGATAAATGGAGTAGGTTGGCTGCTGCTGTTGAGCATTTTTCAAAGTATTTTCAGTAATACTGCATTTTACTACATTTCCTTTCTAGGCAGAAATTGAAAAGAGAATAAGGCAGCGCCTAGACTTAAGGCAAGCCTACGAAAAGCAGGTTGCTCTAAAGGCAGCAGAAGAAGAAGCTAGGAGAGAAGAGGACAGAGCTCTGCAGCAGCAGATTTCGGCCCAGCAGGCCGAGGAAGATCGCATTAAGCAGCTGAACGCTCAGAAACGGAGAATGAAACAGCTCGAACACAAAATGGCCGTGGAAAAAATCCTCGAGGACCGGCGCAAACAGGGCATTGCAGAGAAGGTGAGAGTCTCACATGCACCTTCCGTTTGTGCAGTGTTTAAGATAGGAATACTTGTGCTGTCCTAAGGGACAATGGTGTTGGTAGGGAAAGGTGGAGAGTAGTGGGGGGAACCAGGACCTTGTTTTGGTTTCTAACAAGAAAAAAACTTGAGCTTCTTTTGTAGCTCAAGAGGTTGGGGTCAACAACATTCCTGCCCTCCTGTGTAGCTGTGTACTGCAAATACCTGTTTGGGAGCCATGAGATCAGCAACACAACTGCTGTCCAGTTTCACGTCCCTGGTCAGCTGCACTGGTAATGATGCTTGAGGAGGGGATGGCCTAGTCTTGCTTTGAGGTCAGGTCTCTTTTATTGAGATCTGAGGAAGAAAAGGTGTAAGCTGAAAACAAAACATGGAATCCCATACTGCTGTCTGCAGACCTGTGTATAGGGTATAAATCACCTGTGTAATGTGAATTGCAATTTCCAGTCATCAGTGTGAGAATTCATAGCTATTGTTCCTTTCCCTGGATTAGAGCATTAGGGCTGCTCTAATCTGAGAGCCAAAAAGCCACCAGAACTGAACATTGCCTGCCTTCCAGAGGGCTTCTGACACCAAACACTTGGATAGCAGACTCACCCCACGACTTGCCATTCAGTTTTGTCTTTTGTTTTCCAGTTGCCAGACAGATATTATTTAAACAATGCTTTGTAGGTTTTCCATACACTTTTCCATCCTTTTCAAGAGCATTTCCTGTGACCAGGAATTAGGAAGTTCAAAATTTATTCCACTAAAATTTTTTCTCTTTATGCTGTTGTGGAGAGTTGCAGAAACAAATGCTCACAGAGCTGAAACAGAACTTAGGAAAACTTGTTTATTGTAGGAGCGTGAACTTGAAGAAAGAGAGTTAGAGAAGAAAAGGCAAGAAAGGATCCGTGCAATTATTGAAGAGGAGAGACAGAAACTCTTGAAGGAGCATGCATGGAAATTGCTGGGTTATCTTCCTCGAGTAAGTGAATTGTATTTTAAATACTTTTAATGTCTGTCCTGTAAACTGGTTTTCTCCTGGGTAGTTCAAGGTGAAGCTGCAGAACTGGCAGTTCCTGGAGTCAGTGGATGTCCTTTCTGTGTCAGCTCACCTGCTCTCACCTGCTCTCACCTCTTCCTTTTGCCTTTGAGCTGGGCCCGTTTCCAGCACTGCTCTTTGTGCTGAGGGGCTCTGGGCTCTCTGGCACTATTGATGCCTTGTACAGAACTCTCTGAAAGCTCCCACAGCACTTTGCACGTCCTGTGTTTGAAATATGGAACATGAGTTCTACAGCAGGGCTTCTCTAGCTAAAAAGGAGTCCACCACATCTTAAAATCCATTTCCACAAATTTCTCAGTCGGGGTTTTGGCAGCAATTTCTTGCAGCTCCCTGGCTTGTCTGCCAAATATTCCATAACTATGGACTCTGGAGCAGTGCAATGAACTGCAGCATTTACAGAAGCATTATAGAGCTTACTGTGTTCATCCTGGTGTTTTTACAAGTTAAAAAGATGGAAGCACTTATTGCAATAAACTACAATTTTTTTTGTATTGTGCTTCACAATTGGAAAGATCTCCTAATAGTACACAAATGAACTGAGAGCTGCCTTAGGGATATAAAATTGCATTTACAAAAGAGAGGGAACTATCCAGCTGTTAAAGAAATTCTGCAATACTGGAAAACCTTAAGTAGAACAGAGTTTAACATTTATTCAAATATTAATACCATAATTGGTGCAGGAGTGTGTAACACTTAGAGTGAGTTGTTCTCTAATGTGAATTTCATTAAAGGATAACTCATATTGACACTATTTTGATAAAATTAAACTTTAATTAAATAAATTGAATTAAAATTAATTAAACTTAAAATTAATTTAAATTTTTCTGGTTTGAATTTTCTGTTGTAGGAAGTCTTGGCAATTTCAGTGTCCAGGGCTTACATGTGTGCCATGTATGATGTTCTACTTTTCTGTTCTCTTGAGTTGGGTCTTCCTACATCTCATTATTTCACTCAAAATGGTTAAACAGCAAAGTGCTACCAAATAGGAAACTTTCCAATATAAATGCCGTTTGTAACTTTTTTCCTCTTTTTTAAATGCTGTTCTGTGGGTCATACATATTTTTAACAGTAAAATTAATTTAGAATTAGAAATTTAGATTTCTGTGTGAAGGTCCTCTTCTCAAAAACATAGTTTTTGATTAAAGTGTCCAGCATTACTTGGTTTCCTGTTATTTCTTTGTAAGAGTTAATTCCAGCAAGGTAAAGGGGGAGACAGAGCCCAGCCCAGCCTGGGCCTCTTTTCACTACAGTTGCTTGATTTTACCAAACCTGCCCCTGTGCTGTACTGACTCTGTTCACTCCTGTGAGCAAGAGAATGCAGCTAAATGTTGTCTTTTGGCAGAAAAAAAGGGGGCACAGATTGTAACTCACCTGTTTGGGTTTTGTGCAATCAGGCTTGCTTTAAAGGCACCATAGTATTATGGATACCATTATGGATACCATATTTTCTCCATAGAAAATTTCAGAAATTCATAGTTTTTACCTTATGATATTTCTTTCCTGTTAATGCAGGGAATACTCAAAGATGAAAATGATATTAACATGCTTGGAGAAGATTTCAGGTTGGCTTACCAGCAGAGAAGAGGTAATGAACTTTCAGAAGAGAGCTGAACCTTCCCCCAGCTCAGCTCCTGCTTTGCCACTAGGTGTCATCGGATTCCCAGTGAAAACTTCATTTGCTTTTAACGTGAGGAATTCCTTTTTAATAGCATTAACAGCCTTCATTTTAAAACCGAAGTTCTAAACGGATGAGCAGTTAGTTTTTTAGAAGTGCATTTGCATTTTTTAGAGGTCCATTTGCATTTTATAGAAGTCCACTTACATTTTTCATCAATAAACTGTTCTGGAGTTCTCAATTCTTCTCAGTTAGTCATGTAGTAATGTTAGAAATGTTTTCTTCAGCAATGCAGCAGAACCCTAACCCAGCATGTGTATTCCAGTCTGGACTGAAGGATTCTCCTAATGCACTGGGAAGCTGTGGCTGCACTGGCACTACGCTACTACAGCCCTCATTCACATGCAGTGTGTCCCATCTCCAGGAGGTAGATCTGAGCTACTTCACTGGTAGGATCTAAGCAGATATGTTGTGTCATTCTGAGGTCAGAACTACTGTTTGTACCTTCCTTTAAATGCATAAACTGACTGGTTTTGTCCCATGTTCTTACTCACTTACTCTGAGGGATGAATCCATTGAAATAGCTGAGGTGTGGCAGAGGTTCATGCAAGCAGCACAGGCTTGTATTGCTCCTGTTCATAAATGTACACACAAAAGGCTCAGTTCTTCTACCCTGAATCTGTTTTCTAGTTATTGATTACAATGATGAATAATGAAATTTTTATATGGATGTGATGCTTGTAGAACACCTGGGAATATGGAGTCATTGCTCCTGCCTGTATCCCAAAGCAGCAGCTGATGGCCAGGGAAGGGTTTAACAATTCCTTGGCTGAAGGAACACTTACACAACCCAGCTCCATGGGACTGTGGAGTCTGTCTGGGTGATGAGAGGCAGTCTCATGTATGGTTATGCCAGCCAGGGGCACTCAGATGTTATTGCTAAAACAAGTTATGGTCATTTCTATAAAAGAGCTGTTGGTGCTTAAATTAGATGCCAGACCAGCTAGCTTTGAGGGGAGATCTGTTACAGAGAACAGACCAGGCCAATTTTCCAACCACGTGTTTTAAAAAGGACATGACATTTTCTTCTCAAGTGGATCACTGGTTAGTTTATTTCTGTTGCAACAAGGAATTTTCTGAGACTAAATCCTGACTTCCTTGGACTGAATACGACCATAGGTAAGGTACAGTTTTTAAATGCTAGAACAGAGCAAACTGATAACCAAGTTCACTTGTTGGAATAGTCCTTGCATGGTCTGTGCTTCTCTGCTCCTTGCAGAATGGGCAGTTTGGCCTGACAATGAAGTAGAAATTTGTGTTTCATATGACATTACAACACAAGCTATCAGGCTGACAAAAGTTTAACAATTTAAACATAAGAAAAATCAACAAAATCAATTCAGTGGGATATACAGTTATTAACTATTAACAAGGACTCATATAGAGTCTCAAAATAATGTACCATCTGACTCATCTTTCAAACAGAAGTTATTTAATGGGATCAATAATTTCCCCACTCAAGAGCTTTCATGAATTCCTCTTCGGTAAAAGAAAGCATCTTGGCAGCTTCAATGTGCATCTAAAAAAAAAAAGTGAGCAGAAGGTAAAATAGTGTGAATGAGCAATACAAAATCCTGACTAACCGGGATATTTTATGGGTTTATATAAAGCAATTAATATTTAATAATTAATTCATTAATAAAGAAATTCCTGAAAATCTGACAACTCTTGTGACATCTGAAGAACACACATAAGAAAACGTGGTCCACGTTCTTTCAAGCTGATCAACATACAATTTAAAGTTATTACAAAGCAAATCTCATCCTACTACTGATATTTAATGTCTTTGGGGAATATTTTCCCTCTATCATTCTTCAGTCTCTGTCTGCTCTGTGCATCTGAAGCTGCCACACAAATATTACACCAACAGCCTAAATCAGGTTTTTCTAATTCATTCAACAAAAGGCCTGTTTGAAGCAGACTTGAATCCTCCCCCTGACTGTGAACACTGAGCACATGTGAGCTTCAGCTGCCCTTCCCCAGTGCCTTCTGCCAGAAGCTGCAAGGGGCAGGGTTAGCCTCAGTCCCTTCAGAAAGGACAACTCACAGCAGCCTTCCTCTGTGAGTAACACTTTGTGTAAGAAAAGGTAAGTGGCTTTCTCTCCTATCTGCAGTTCTGATACAGCATTTGTAATTGCTTAAAAATGTATTTAATGCAATTTGTGACACCTGTCTGAGTCCATGGGTTTGGTTCCCAATTAAACAGAAATGCTGCTCTCTGACACACATTTCAGTGAATTCATGTTCCAGAGGACAATGAGCTACCTCATCTGGAAGAACATATTTTGAGTGAATGCTGTGTAGTTTTCATTCTCAAAATAAAACTGCAGAGCTAGAAGGGCCAGCCAAAGGCTAAGTTGGCACTATTGCTGTTGGGTGAATCCCCAGGATCTCCTCTGCATCCTGTTACTGCCAGAAAAAATCTCTTGCACTGGAAATACATAAGCAGCACCACTTCCTCTTTTCCACTTACCTGTCCTCCTTTGCCCTGTGTTGGGCAGGTATTCCACATTCAAGAGTGTGTTTCATATTGCAATTCCCAGTTCTTAGGATCAGGGTGCAAAATACTCACACTTAAGTTGCCACTTCATACAGAACTATTCTTCCTCTTGGGGCTCAACAGCTTCAACAGTGTTTACTAAATGTCTGGTGATCACTGAGTACTCAAAGGGTAAATAAAATGTTCCACTTTCTTATCTCTAGGGCTGGCCCTTCTTAAAGGGGGTTCTGCTCAACAAGCCACCATACATTGCTTGCTTTAGCTGTCTTACAGCTTTGGTTTGAGAATGCAGGCAGTGCACTGACTCCATCCCAAAATGAATCCCGGGAGATTCTGCAGAGTAAGCAATTGGAGGTGACCCACTCTGTGCTGTTAAGGTCCTGTCCAGCCCATAGCTCTACATGTCTCATGCTGCCTCAGAAGGAGAACTGATGGAAATTACTGCACACATCCCATGTATTTTAAGTGAAAAGTGTAGTGGAACTAGTAAGTGGAAAATAATTTGATTTGGGAAATATCTCTTAGTATAGATTCTTCTCATTTTAATTTCCTTCCATGTAAACTCACAGTTTTCAGGATTACTTTGCTGGACAATAGATGCATTTAGCTAGAGGTTGTTAGATGAAATACACCCATAGTCTGCTCCTTACCTTTTGTCTCTTCAAAATATCAATTAACTTTAACTGCTTTTTAAAACCTGTAATCAGCTCTCCTTTTTGTTTCTGCAGTTTCTTGTTTTCTGCTTTTAACTCTTCGATCATTTTGAGTTCTTGATTAGCTACATCCTACCAAGGGAAGAAAAGGAGAAATTATGAAAATGATGCTTTAACTAATGAAACCTGGCATTACATAAGAAAATGACAAACAGTAGCCACACATGACACTTCTGAAAAGAAATGGGATTAATCAAAATACTCCCACATTAAGGCTTAAAAAAGAAAAGAAAATCTTGGCAACAAGAGCCGTGGTTTGCCTTTGTATGTGTTAGGTGTGTATGTGAACTTCTCCCTCTTTCTAAACAGGTCTCATTTTCACAGAAATGAGGAAAATCAGAAAGGCTTTAACTTCATTCTGTACATTTCTTCTCCCTCCAGAGTTTGCAGTAGTATCCTCTAAGGTAACTTATTGAGGCCTTTTGTGACTTGCTCCAAGTTAATTCTGGGGCTGCCTGTAAGAGATACGATGCTCCCAAAGCTCATCAAGCTTTTTGTCTCATTCTGGCATTACTGAGTGATTACAGACTGGAAATTGCTTTCCTCAGCCACAGTACCTTGTTGCTTTGCTTCAGTTTATTCAGCTCCACTTTGTACTTCTCCACTTCTTCCAAGGCCCTGTTTAAACGCACCTCAGTTGCACTCTGAGTGGCTGCACCCTGCTTTTGGGCACGCTTTACACTCTCCAATTCCTATTGAAGAAGGAAAGGACAAACCAAGAAAAACATCATGGATAATGGTGTTCTAATGAATCTTGTATCAACAACACACAAAAAAGGCTCACCCTTGAAAGCTGAAGAGTCTGAACTTCTTTGGCCTGTAACAGAATCTGTCTCAAAGACAATTCTACCATTAAAACAACCCCTTTTCCTTTGAAATCTTGAAAAAGGATCTTTCTCATCTTTATTTTTTTAAGCTTCTCTTGGGGTAAATTGTGAAGCTGATCATATAAGATTGAAAAACCTTGTATGATCAGTCAGAAAAAGAGAAAAAAGTATCAGTATGTCCACTCTGTGACAGATTTTGGAATGGTGGCCGGTGTTCCCAGCTCCTTCTTCCCACCTGCTCCATTCACCTCTTTGCCCCAGAGATTACTACATGCAATTCCCACCAAGCAGCAAAAGCAGCCTGCTGCAGATGGCTGAGGGGAGTAACTATTTCATCTGGCAGAAAAGAGTTCATCAAGTGTTATGGCACCAATCAAAGCAGTCGTCTCTTGACTCTGCTGACAGGATGTCATAGTGCTGTAAGTGGGGAAATGAGAGAAAGGAACCAACTTGAGGAACAGAATAATGAGACTAAAGATCAGGGAATATAGATAACATACAGAGTAAAAGTAATAAATAACTCTGGCAGAAAGAGCACATCTTGTGTTTTATGAAAAAAGAAATAGACTCTTTCTTTAAAATATCAAATATTTTGTAATGGGCACAGGAATTTTCTTTTAACAAAATCAAGGTAGAGGGAGGGCTTACTGATAATGAGGTGGCCCTCAGACTGCCTCATTTCTGAGCAACTGTTCTATTTTCTCAGTTCTACATCTCTTCTGTGGTGGTGACTCAAGACTTCCACATCATTTATCCAACATACTAATTGACCTCTTTGTCTTGTATCAAGATGATGGAGTTGTGAATGAAGTCTATTACATCCTTTGTGCTATATATTTTATTCTGCATTAATATGAAAAGCTTTGGAATAGTCTTTCAAGCATTTAATGACCAAAAAAATAGTCTACATGCAATGCAAATTACTTATCAGCTAACCAGATCATTTAATGAGAGAATTCTAAGAATTCTTTTAGGGATTTTTGACATTTGCTGTCACACATAATACCTTATCAAGGACTTTTTTGCAAGTCATCTAGTCAGGGTATATTGTTAAATGTATTAGACTCCAAGTTTTTAATCTTAAAAATACCTGAAATAAATGTTTTATTTTGTAACTAGGCAAGGTTTCTGCCATTTCTTCAATACTTTAAGTCAAAGCTGGATTAGTTTTCTCATATAATATTTATCTAAGAGTGAGAGGATAAACTACTGTGGTTTAAAACTGCATCCCATTTCAGTTTCTGGATTTTCCCCACTGTTCTGCCATGGCTGAGGCATTGAGTGTCAGCAGGGGCTGTGATGGCCCACGAGTAACCCTCACCAGGCCTTCTGTCCTCCCAGCAGCAGTGCAGGCAGCACTGCCATCTTTAGGGAGCTCTGCAACACCTCCCCAGAAAATAGCTTTGACATCAAGCCTTTCTTCCAGGCAAGTGATAACCCCCTGCACAAGAGCACAACTTTGGTGTTTCCCAGTCCACTATGGAACATTAGAGCTTGGCTGAATAAGTGGGAGAGAACACAAAGAAAGGAATGTTCTTGTAGACCACTGGTGAAAGAGATGAGAGAGGTGATAGCATTTATGAGATCAACTAGATAGAAAAAAAATTGGAATGCTGGAAAGAAAAAGATGGAAATTTCTGGGAGTATCAGAATTCAGTTACTGCCTTAGGTGGGTGCTGCAGCCGTAATGTTTACAGAGACTGAACACCAAAAGAAGAAAAGGTAAAAATAATGAAGTAGTTACCATGTTTCAGGTAAATTGTGAAAAGCAGGTGAGAATCTTTGCCTAGGCACATACAAAAAGTTCCTGGGGGATTAATGAATTAAAAAAACTTGATAATCTAAGGAGTTTGGGGAAGCATGTATCACACCTTAAGTCTACCATCACCTACATTGCAACAACAGAAAAAGCAAAAAGCCCCAAAAACTGAGGTTACACTTGTGCTCTCAGCTATACAGAAAACTTTGTCCAGACTGAGAGTCATGAGAGTTCAGCAGCACAGTAGCACCATTTCAAGCCTGTGTTCACAGGAAATTGCTTTTAAACATGTCTGGAATAGATCTACACTACATTAATTAAATAGGGTTGAATAATACTTCATATCAAAAAAATAGAGCAGTTTTTAGTCTTCTAAATCCACTGGAGATTTAAGCAGTTACTGCAAAATTATTTTTACATGCATGGTTTTTGCAGTTAGATAATTTCATATAGCAGAGAAAATGTGTAAAGTAACTTCTGAATTAGCAGAGAATCTTTCATTACACATACTTGCTTTTTTTGCTGTCATAGTATTTTAAAGGACTACCACTATTTTTCATGACCAGGGCTAACTGGCAACCTTGATGAATTTTAGAAAACACCATCTATGAGGAACAATTGAAGCAACTGAGGATGGTAAATCCTAAGCAAAGACCAGTGAGGGAAGTGACCATATTCTGGCTCTGGTACCTGTGCAGGGGAAGTGAATAAACCTTTCATCCCATTTCCTAAATACTTTCTAACTGTGACTGTGTGCAAGAAGTGTTGGAAATTGCCACTCCAGAAAGCTGTAAGTACAGGTTAAACAAACTTGTATCCCAGATGGTTTGAATATAATTTGTCCTGCCTTGCTTTAAGAGAAGGAACTAAATTACTGTAAATCTCTAGGCCCTATTGACTGTGAGCTGATGAACAGCATAAACACTAGCACTGAATATTTTTCCTCACAATCAGTTTAAGAGAATTTAAAACCTCCAAGTATCTGCACAAAAAACCACAAAGACCATGTTAGTTTTAAAATGCCAGAACTATGAAACATTAAGATATAAGCATGCCCACATGAATCCATGCTATGATTAATGGAAGTATGAGCCTTTGATGGGCTGTGTTCTGTTTTCCCCAATTTTTTAACTGAAACATTCTCCTGGTTTTATTACAAGCACTACCCAACACTGTATGCATGCCATGGTTTTGAAATCAACCTCTCTAGCTCTGAGTAATTAAAGAAAAACACATGCTGCCCTTAAGATGAAGTTGCAAACAAAGCAAGCTGTGTGTGCAGCCATCTGGCCATGGCACTGCTGGGGGACAGCAGCCACACTGCAGGGCCCGCTTTTCCATTTGGGACAACAAGCACATCCCTTCCCTCACCTGCACAAGATAAGCTTCAGGTGCTTTAAAAAAAAAAAAAAAGTTCAGTAGGTTCTACAGCTTACAACAGAATTTACAGAAGCAATTAAAAATATAATTAAAACCCGAAAAATGGAATTTCCTTGTACTTTTCAGGATTAGTTTTTAAATTTGACAGCAGTTTCTAAAAAGGTAGTTTTGTCTCTTGTGGGTCTTTTACATAGGAATTTAATTTTAAAACACAAATATATGACTGTAAAAGCAGAAGAAAAGGTTAGCAAAATATATTATTTCTTCCTTAAAAAAAAATTAGGCCATTTAAAAATACAATTTATAAATTAACAGACATTGAAACATTAATGAGATCTTTGTACATGGCTCTATCACTCCATCAGGGAACAGAGGGTAATTTGATGTGGGTTTTTCCCTTTTTGAGATAAACAAGACTAATATCTGCCATACCTTTTCTAGTGCAGTGACCTCTTGTTGTAACCCTTCAGTTTTTTTGTTTGCTTCTTGTGACAACATTTTGTACTTCTCAATCTGAGACTGCTGCAGGCTGACTGTTCGTTGCAGTCTTGAGTTTTCTTCTTCAGTATCTTTGAGCCGAGTTCCTAAATTCTGATTTTCATCATCCTGTGTGGCAGTAATTAGCAAAAAAACACAGCTAAATTATTGCAAGGGAGCAGGAGGGTAATGCAGTAATAATGTCTTGTAAATAACAGGCAGTTAGAATATATGTGCTGTAGATTTGGAAATAGCAACAAGTAAGACTAAGAAAACAAAACACCATTTCACCAAGACAATACTTTAACAAACAGTAACACTTTTCTCATTTAATATTCTGCAGTCTTTTACTTGAAACTGTCTTGTAGCAGTATGTAAAACATTTCTCATAGCTCAAAGGTTTTGAAAATAATCAAAATGTTATAGAATTATATGAATAACAGTAGTACATAGATATTTTGTGACATTTTTGTGAGAACAGCTAAATGCACATATTAGGAAAAATTATGGGAAAAAAGAAGAGACTGTAATTACTGATAAACCACTCCATTATGTTTCAGGAGATTATCTGGTTTTGACTTAAAAGCAAGCTAATGATCCAGGATACATCAAATATTCAAATTTAAGATTCTCTTAACATGAAGTGAGTCCTGTCTTAGATTCATGACCTACTGGCAATTACATCCCACATTAAGCATTATAATTCAAGGCATTTTTCTTTTATAACCTTTCAAACATTGTAAGTGAATTCTAATGTAGATTGTTTCAGAGACACATTATGCCCTGCTTTTCTTTAAGCAAAAGAAACCAAGGCACGTACAGAAATGGAATTTCTGTGAAAAAAAAGTCTCTCTGCTGTTCTCTCAGTCCCTTGGAATACCAGCTTCCCACCTGAGAAATCTGTATGCTTTACCCTAAGTGCTTCTCATGACTTCGTGCACCTCAGAAACTCCCACCTCTTTAAATTTAAACAGATTTACTGCTTCCTTATAACAAGTGGACTGTGAATTGGAACCAAACCCAGAATCTATCTCAAAGCTTTGCCAAAATGAAATTTTTGTGACCTTCTGAATGTAATAGTTATTTTCACACCAGATAAACTAGAACCCAAAATGATAAATTTACATACAAAGTGCTAAGGGAGCAGGACTAGAAAAAGTACAAGGTTGTCTTCTGTCATCTGCTACAGTAACTGAATTCTGTCATGATTTTGGCATGGAATGATGAAGTTCAATAGCTTCTGACAAAATTATATTTGACTTGAAAATGACTTTAAAATCTAATGTACCAACATTCTTCTGATCACAGCATAGAAGTATTGAAATGCAGAAGCAACTGTGTTGATAAAAATGAAGTACAGATATAAAATATCAAAATCTAATTACTTCTAAAGATTTTGTTCATGTACTTATTTCAAAAAACCCATTTACTATCATCCTGCTCCTTAATGCTAAATTAAAAGCATGTAAGAAAACACATAGGTGTTTGGCCATATGCTCTTAATGTCATCATCACTTTTGGGCCTGGGGAATAGGTGGAAAAAAGCATTCTGAAGTTAAGAGACCACAAATAAAAATAGTGCAGTCATGTAAAATAGAGAGTTAGTTCAAAAACCTTGCTTGATTACAAATACATGAATAAGAAGTGATCTGTCTGGCAGACAGATATGAACTACTTAAGTTTTAACAGTTCAAGAGCTGTTTGAGCATCACTTTAAAATATCCTGCCAGACAGTGCAGATTATAAAACTCACTCGTGCATTCTAACAGTGAAGTGTCAGTGTAGCCTCACAATGCCTAAAGTTCAGGCTGATCTGCTCAGGTATGTAATTCCAAATACTGTCCTCTGCATCAGTTGTACTCTTGAGAACAGAGAAAGCCTAATTTCTGTTTTGATTACAATATTCCACTTAAAGTGGAATCTCTTTCCACACTTTGATCCACTGATGACACTGAAAGCACCTGACTATTTCTCAAGATTGTCTATTTCTCAAGCTAGTCTGTTTCTCATTTTCCCCTAAACATCCATCTCATCCCAGCAGCCAGCTCTGGGCACACTTCCCTTCTCTCTGTACTCCACAATCTGCATTTCACCACCACTGTTTCTCCTCCTTTTTCTCAGGCTCCCTCTCCTTCCCAGCAGGAAGGAGATGGTTTGAGACTTTGCAGAACCACAGTGGCCCTACAGCTGGGGCATGCCATTGTTCCCAGTGGTTCTCTCCTGCCCCAAATTATTTTCCATTAAATGCATTTTGAAAGCTTTTAGCCCAAGATCACACTTATAGAGCAATTACCACCCCTAACTCTCAATCTGTACAGTATTTAAAAGAAATAGAACATTAACTCTTAATACTTGAAACAGAAAAGTTGAGAGAATTCTGTTTTGGGATTATTTGTTAAAGAGGAACCTATTCCATTTCTAGATTAAAAAATGAATCCCTTACCTTTTTCCTGCATTCAAACACTATATTTGCCAGGTCTTCCTGCATCACACGTAACTTTGCCTTAAGAAATCTGATTTGAGCTTCTGTGAACATAAAGAGTTACATTTAATATACACAAGTCCTCATTATTCAATGCAGACAAGAACCAAAACTGATGCAAGAACTCACTTTCATCTCGTATTTAAAACCACGTGACATTGTTTATAATTATTGAAGAGAAATAGGCAAACAAAAATCCAGATTTCTGAAAAAGTGTTTGCAGATTTCTCACACATTCTTAGGCAAAGCTTTGTATAGATTTTTTCCTTTTAATGACTGAACTTGACATCTTTCAATTGTAAAAGACTCATAATGCTGAACATTGAAACTTACTGAAAACTTGCATCATACCATGCTGTACATGGCAGCACTTCTTGAGTTTGAAGTCAACAAAACTGTATTGTAGGGCATGTCTACATTGCAATCCAGCTGGAGCTACAACTTCTCCAGTTACAGCCAAAGTAATTTTAAGCTGTGCACAACAAGGAATTTGATGTAGGCTGCAAACCCCTCCTAACAGGTAAATATCCCTCCCACACAGTACTCTGTGCTTTGTAAAAGTACACTGCTAACATTCTTCACCTAATAGTTTAAAATTAAATCCATGTAATCAGATGTTTTTCCAAATGAAATTCTGTCTTGCTCTTGGACAGCTAAGGAATGGACTGGCATGACAAAACAAGCTGTGTGGGAACAGTCTGTTCTCATATTTCCTATTCCCCAGATCATTCACAAGGAACTTCCTCTGGAAAGACTTCCTTTTGACAAGCATCAAACATGAAAATAGTCTGAAAATCAAGCTGACTAACACAGGAATAACCATTATTCCCAGTAGTTACAAGAGGAAAAGAATGAAGTGAAGGAGAAGGACCTAGAGCTAAGAGGGGAGGAATGGATGGGTACACGTTTTCATTTGCTGTAACAGGAATTTGTTTCATTTCACCCATCTTCCCTCATCAATTGCAGCTTAAGCTTTAACTCTGAAGAGGTCAATAATAAGTACAGTTTAGGAAAACACCATGAAAAAATAAGATACAGGCTGACTTTAATTCCTCCTTTTATATCCTTGCTAGCTTCTGGTAACTAGTGGCTGTCAAGATGGAGACCATAGTGAAAACTTCATGTTTAATCCCCTTCCAGGTACTTCTATACTATTAAGTTATTTGATTTTCTTCATGAAACATACTGTAGTTTGGTATTTACCACATCCTGTGGCAATAAGCTGGCTAATTTAATTATTCTTTATGTGAAAGAGAAATACTTTGTGTAGCTTACTTTAATTCCAATTTAATGTGGCATTTACTAGTGTTTGCATTAGAGAAAGACAGCTTTCCCTTTACCATTACTGTTTTCATTAATGAACTTTCATATTGCCTTTAATTGTTTTATTTTCAAACTGAAAATTCAAATTCAAGCTCTTCTACACTTCTCATTGCACTGTACACTCTGAATATGTGTTTTTGATAGTTCTGCATCCTACATTTGAGATGTGTGAGAATCTGAGAACTGAGGATCTGAGAACTGTGCCATTCTCAAGATGGGGTAGCATTAATTACATAATAGTGTGATGGTAACAGCACAATATTCTGTTTTCTGCTATCTTCTGAAGGATATCTAAAAACTCATTGCCTTTTCCACTGTGAAAAGGCAGTAAGTTTGTGCTTTTGGAGATTATTTAGTTATCACTAAATTAAGCTATTTTATTTAGTTATCATTAAATTTAGTTATCACTAATTAGGGAAAGTCCAGCTCAGTAGTAGGTGTGACTGCAGTTGTGCAGTAGGTGGGACTGGAAAGCTGTGTTTTCTGTCAGTGTTACTCTGCACTCTTTAACACAGAATATAAACTTGTGCTTCACCACCTCACTCAGTACATGAGATTCTTTTGCATGATTCTTTTTCATCAGTCTTAACTACCCTAAAATCATTGTTGCATCGACAAATTTACCAGCTATCAATGTAAGCTCTGTGACAAATTCCTCTAGGGCTACACCACTGCCTGTAAAAACTGGTTCTTTTTACCATTGTGTTTCCTCTTTTACTCAGCCATTAGTCCACAGACAGCTCCTGATTTATTCAGCTGTGTGTCATTAAGAGCACTTAGCAGTAAAACCTGGGAAAATTCAAGTGCACAACTAGAACTGGATCAGTCTTGGGAGGTGCCCATGATCCAAATCATCTGAATTCTGACAAGGGGGAAAGATAATTAAACAATTAGCTTCCTAACTGGTCAATTTTAATCACCTGATGAGGATGATAAGGGCGAGTATCACTTCATAGGATGGTCTTAGGTTATAAAGTAACCAAAGATTTAGGGACTGTAAACAAGAAAAGGACATCAGAGAGACTGATACCGTACAAGAAAGAACAGATTTTTTGAATTCTTGAGATAAGATGAAGATTAACATGAAGTGCAATATATTCAAGTATTTTATTCCTATGTGTAAGGGTATATTAGATAAAAATAGAGCTTCACGTTCAGCCATCTCTGTGTGCTTTATCATTGCTGGTTACTGCAGAGCTGAATTATAACTCTCCCAAAACAGTCCCAGACTAAAATAATGTCTAAGCTACTGTGTTGGCAGCACTGTGGTAACCTGTGATCCTGAAATAAAGACAGGGAACCCAATTCCAGGAAGAGTGCTGCAAGAGGCTCAAGGAAAGGACAATACCATGAAACTTTATCAGCACATTGGCCTAAACAGCTGGGCACAGGCACACAGGCCTAAGGAATCCATTATGGAGATTCCCACTGAGCCCTCTCTGTAACAGGGCCTGCTCAATACCTGTGCTGCTTCCTTGTGAACACCCTAACTGAGAGTCTGACACTGCTGGGGTGCCCTGCAATAACTTATTTACCACATTAAGGAGGTATTCAGAGTGTTCCAAACAGTCACCATCAAATTCAAAATGCAAAAATCAATCCAGAGGATTTTTATTTCATCATTAAAGTTACAGAAACAATCCTCAATACTCCAATACATGCCCTTGGTCCCTGAATGCAAGGCACCAGTAATAACTCTTCTTGAGTTGCCTTGAATTGATTTGGTAGAAGTTTCCAGTGCAAGCTAAAGCAATTTCTTTTAGGTTCAGGAAGAAAACTATAAAAAAGTTATCTGAGGATCTGTTATGGGAGACTTGGTAACAGAAGATGTGCAAAGAATTACATGAGGTTAGAAACCAAGCTATTTCTGTGTTGGCATGCTTGTTGACATCAAGCTGTTAGATTAAAAGGAGAGGGCTCAGGCACTTCCAGCTACTGGGGCGAATCTCTGACTTCATGCTCACTTCAGCATTGTAAGGAACTACACAAACTCACTTTTATCACACCAGAGCCAAAAAGACAGATGTGTGTCATGCCTTTAGCCTTGCTGGCAAATGCTCCAATCCCTTCCCTGTTCTGTTTCTAGGACAGATATAAACACACCATTTGCAGTGGGAAAATATCTGGAGGATTCTAATTCAAGCACTGTAGCTGAAACATTACCTTGTTTCAGCCACTTGCTGAGATCCACAGCACTGCTCTGAGGAAGGCTTTTGCCTCCAAAGACAGAGTCTTTGCAAAGACTGAAACTCATCTTTTTGGAAATACAAGCTGAGCATCCTGTACTTCTGTTTTCCCAGTGAAATGAACCAAATGCCATGCACTTATTCAATATATGTAACCATCCAAATACTTTCTACAGAGGTGGAAAGGAAGATAAAAATTCACTTTTGCACATAATCAGTTATATGTGAACTGATCTTCCTCTAGGCCTATGTAGAGAGGAAAAACCTTCTTTCCCTTTAGGTTAAGGGCTATAGAATTTTCCCTGTAATTTTTACAGAAACTCCTTTTTTCTCTCCCCAGGAAAACCCATTTCTAACAGTCATGAAGCAAGAATAAATGTACAAACCATGGAAGGAAACTTACCTGCTCCCATCTCATTTCCAACCCTTGGAATAATATCATCATCTTGACAGTCTGGTAAGACTCCTTTCTTTAGTCTTTCTTCAACTTTGCTAATTGTTTTTGCTAAAGAAAAACCTATGCAATCTTCCAGTACTGCAACACCATCAGCACTTTGTACTTCCACATTTCTTATTTTTGAACTAAAAAAAATGAAAACCCTAGATTTTAAATTTATGATACATCATATTTTTGTAAAATATTTTTAGTATTTGCTATTTTTAAGAATGTACAGTTATTTACCTGCATTTAATGCAATTTCATTACCTGCATTCATATGAAAGATGCATCGATGGCAATTTTTCATTTGCTTTCTGTAAGATACCTTTACCATATTCCACATAAATAATTACGAGATTTTACATACTATAATGTAGAAATGGCAGAGAAACCACTACCATTTTCAACTGAGAAGATTCTGGCATGGTCTTCTCATCCAACAAATCCATAACTAAATCAGAGTAAAGCACAGAAAGAGAGGGATGTTCTATTGGCTTTGGCTGCTGTCCTGGTGTGATCTTCTATCCTCTGTTGTGATTTCTGCTCTTTCCTCTCCCTGCCACGTTACCTTGTAGAAATCTGTTGCCCCTGGCTGTACTCCTACCTTATGACAATTTCTGCATCACTATGCCCAGCTTAGGAAACTTTACTGATCCTAGAAACTGCATATCAACATTTTCATGAAACCAAAATGCAGGGTAACAAATCACCTACCCAGCTTTCTCCTATAGAAAGGTGATCTCAATTCTCACAGGATCTGAAGCTCCTAAATTCTTATTCCAACATATCCTCATTCCAGTCTCCAAACCCCTCCCAGCTCCTCACTTTCTCCAACAGCTTTTGGGTTGTCCCACAGGCTCTGTATCAGCACAATTCCATTTCCAAACCTCATGAGGAGGTGCCAGCATAACAACCTCCCCTGAAACGCCCAAGGGAGGTCTGAAGGGTCTCCCCAGGGATTTCCAACTCCTGTAAGACAGCCTCATCCTGTCAGTTCCATGTCCTGCCACCTTGCAGACAATTTTCATCTATTTTGGTATTATGCCATAATTCAAGGCTGTTTTAATTTGCTCCCAGGCTCTTCTGGATTTTTTGATGCTTCTCTCTTTGTCCAGATCTGCCTTTCTTGGTTTTACAACCTTGAATTTGCTACCTCCAGAGCTGAAGCTTCTCAGCTGGGAGCCCCTGGAGGCTGTGTTGTGTTACTGAGCCTCTTGTCCTGTGAGCCCAGCATTGACTACAAGGCCTCACGTTCCCCAGCACCATCTGATCACAAATCAGGCTGCACACCCAGGTGTGCTGCCCAGGCTGCCTCAGGTGCTCCATTCCTGCTCACTGGGCCTCCTTTCACTGAAGGAGTTTACAGAATTCAGCTGGGAGCCTTGAGAAGTGCTAAAGCAGAAAGCAACTGTTTCATTGCTGCAATATTAATCACATATATTCACTGATAGTTTTTGGTGCAAGTAAACAGAAATAGCCACCTAGGGAGCTGACTGAGGAAGTTTGATACATTTATTTGTATAAATATAAAAGCATACATCCATAAAATAAGTTGATAGAGAAAAACAGCAACTAAAAGATTTCATTACATACCTTGAAGTTGTTCTTTTCCCCTTACTTGCAGAGTATGGTCTGTTCTGAGCTGTGGGCACAGAAGGAAATTTCTTCTTGTTTTCTACCTAAAAGTTTTTTGAAAAATTAGTGGGGTATTATTATTATTATTGAATTACTTTTTTTTTCCTAGTTTTTTTCGTGTTTTTTTTTTTCTTCTTCATCTATCTATACTTAAGGTAGTTTTCAAAGAATGCTTTTCAAACTTTCCAAATGACTTCTCAAGTTTATTTGCGCTCATCTTTAGCCTGCAAACTTTTATGTCTCTACACCCTAACTGTAATACACCCAATAGTCATTGGCTCGTGGGAGTTTTTCCCCACGTACATGTATAAATCTATGCACAAGCAGGGCTCTGAGCTTTTATTAATTACTGGACTGTCATCATACCTTCAAAAATATGGTATTTTATGCATTATTTTAGTCTTATAAAGTCCCCATTGAAGGAAGATATAACAATACTTCTTTTACTTTCAAACAAATATTCTAAAAAATTAGAGGGTTTTCTACTGTATTCTGATAAATAACTGCAGATGGTATTTTAGAAGCTCCAGCTCACCTCATAGAAGTTTCAATATAGTTGTAGTTAGAGACTACTGAGATTGTTCTTAATCTCATTTTTCCATTATAGTTTCTAAATTCATTTACTCTGACTATTTGTTTATCTAGACAGTTATTATTAGAAAACACTAGTACTGCCTGTAGAATTATAGAGGTGAGGGAGGGAACAGAGCAAGAAGCTAATTATTTTCTAATATTTTTCACTTGGAATTCTTAATTTGATTTTCAAAACACTGAACATTTCTCTCAATGCTGAAAAGAAAACAGAATACAAAAATTAAACATTGGGTAAGTCCACCTGACCACAGGCACTGAGGAGCTCTGCTAACAGTGTCCCTGTAGCACTGCTCTGGGCATCACTTCCCTTTGGCTTGGCACCCATGTAAGGGCAGGGTAGCCTCAAACCATGAGCCATTATATTTTTGAAATTATGCTAGAAAAGAATTTAACCAGGATAGTTTTGGTACCTTTGCAAGTGAATTTGTAAGAGATGAAACTTCAGGACAGTGAGGATCTCTGCAATTAAAAAAAAAAAAAAGTAAAAATTCACTGATCTATAAAAATGTGAACACTTTGCAGTTAAAATACAGCCCCCCTGTCAGAATCAGGAGAGTAACATTTTATAGGTCTAGAATAAACAATACAGCTAAGGTGGGAACATATACTGAGTTCAAGCATAAATTCAGTCTCATCCATGCTCTGTCCAGTCTACCTCATTTGCAACCCAAATCACCTGGTGAGTCTGTGGTATCTCATACAGCAGTACTCATGTACCAGAACCCTGATCTTGTCTCTTGGAATTCAGGCTCCTGGTAGGTAGAGAATGATTCCCTGTAGCAGGGAGTACTCAGCAGAGCAGAGTTACAGCTTCCCCAGGACAAGCCAGACCCAAGGACTGCCAGCAGCTCCCTGGGTAACACCCACATGACAGAAACCCCCTGAGCTCACACAAAGCAAGGGCAGATAGAACCAGGGTCCTCTGCATCCTCCACCTGTCCTAGCAGGATCAGACTGACTGTTCTCAGGTCAATTGACAGGGTCTGTCAGAGGAATATGAAGTGGAGCAATTTATACATTAAGCCTCATAGAATTTTCTCTGAAATAAGTATTATAAATATGGTATCTATTTTACAGTCAGGGAATAAAACTAAGAATAAAAAAAAAAAGAGCAGCTTTCTTATCTGCTTATTTGGCTGAAAACTGTGCTTCTTAGTAACTGAATTTTAGGTTAAATGATTACTTTTCAAGTCTATTGAAATTAAGCAGAAAGTTTTAGCATGCTGTGTACTATTCAGGTCAAATTCCTTGTCAGATAGATATACAGATATGTAGATACAATTTTGCTTTCAAAATGAGTTACGAGTGAATGTATATTATTGCAATGAAAAGCTGTTTTTAAACTACCCTTTATAATTTTTTTACTTCAATTAAAACACTGGCTTATAACAGATTTTGAATAAAATTTAAATTTCTGGCTCATTAAGTCACTTAATTTTTTTTGTCAGGCTGATTTGAGCAAATGTTTAAGCTCTTGCCTCTAAAAATTTCATAGACGTTCATCAACAAGAATTATCTGCACAAAGCTCCGTATTTTATTAATCCAAAAAAAAACCAAAAAAAAAAAAAAAAACCCCACAAAAAACAACCTGGAGAAATCATCTGTGTGTGGCTGGCAACAGACCTCAAGAATAGGATGATTAGTTTTTGTCTATTTACCCCAGTTTCCTCAAGCCTTCTCCCTATTGGCTAGCTCTAGGAGCATGCAGAAGGTGAGGATTTGCTGCCACAGAAATAGCAGTTCTCTGTTATTCTGAAAAATATGAAAACGCAACACGCTCTATACTCAAGAAAACAAATATATTCTTTCCCTCAATAATCTGTTCCTACTGTATCTGTTGTCTTAGGGTCGCCTTAAAAAAAAACAAAACAAAACAAAAAACCCAACCTCATTGTATCTCTCAAATTCTCCTAATGGTTCTTCCCCGCTGCCCGCCCCGTTTTGCCAGCCCCTTGTGCATGTGCAACCGCAGCTCGGTGAGAGGCGGCGC